AGCAGAGTCCGGGCGCTTGGCAGGACAATGAACGAAGGAGTACAGATGGCAGCGCTTCATTAAAATGCTACTTTACTGCCAAAAACTCGCAAGACAAAGAGGAATAAAGTTCTCTGATGTGCAATACAGCAATTTAAGAAGACGTACCTAACTTTTTGATTTGTATGGAGCTTACCTATATTGTAAACACATACTTTCTGACAAGTTATTTCAATTTTGTTTGCTATGGGTTATGGTGTGTATTCAATCAATCAAATGCAGCATTCCAAGGCTCAAAACTGACTGAGTGGTTTTCAATAGACAGGTATATGATTTTTCCAATATCATACTAGTATTTTACATCACAAATACAATAAAACCGAGTGATGGTATTTCTAGGACAGTTCCAAGATTCAAATAAAAAATCATCAGAACCATTCTAAAATAAGATATTGTACATAATCAAATCATGTTAAACAGCACACTCTCGGCAAGCAGCTAATTACAAGCATTCTGCTGGTCATGTTTTTCACACAAAAGTCATTCAATAGCACATAAATATTTCTTTTTCTGATCTGCTTCTTTTTACAAAACCATTCATCAGATTCACATAATTAGTACAAGTAAGGCACATTAGCATATATCATAAAACTCACAATAATAACAAAGAGTCGTAAAGTTTTAAGGACTAATTCCTTCTTTGCAGTGATTTCTGAACTGAATGAGACTTCATCAGTAGAACCCTCCTACATTGACATTACTCTTATTTCCATTGCAACCAACTGTGGTGGGTGCAATACTGTGCATCATCATGGACATAAATAATTAAATTAAGAACCGTGTGTGGTAGCAAATCCCATTTTCAGATCTTGCAGAGAAATCAGACACATTGTTCACCATGTTCGTTATGAGCATAGACTAAGTTTTAGAGCTATATGGAAGTTAATTTCTAGTTATCAAAATAAAAGGGGATATTGCATGTGTCTCTGAGTATGTTGTTTTCCTAGTACAAATATTGCTTAAGGTAGAAAGGATGCTATAGAACTGAATTTATTTGCATAATGAATCCTAAATGCTGATGTCTCAGATTCTACTAAATTAAATGAACTACAGGTTTTCCTTCTTCCACCCCCCACCCTGCCCCCAACCAAAGGACTCTCTTTCCCACAGAAGATTCATTTACACACAACACAGCTTTTAATTAGAAGCATAATTTACAGTAAAAATTCTTTACATTACACCTCTGCTATCAAAAAAACATGAAATCTTTCATTTAAAGTTGTAATTATACATTAAAAAATAGAACACTATTTCCTTAACAGGAAGAATGAATTTGAACATCTTCAGATCAGATTTCTTTATTGCGGCTTTCGAGTCAAAGGTCAGTCACTTTATTCTCTAACGCAGCTGCTATTTGCTGTAAACGGAAGGCAAGCTGCATTTTTTGTGCAGCTGGATCCTCTTCAAGTGCATTTATAATCTGGAAGAAATAAACACAGAATGTTTAGAAACATTTAGCTTAAAATATACGACATAGTTCCCGACCAAGTGTTTGACACTGCTTTGGTTGTTAAGAGTCTTTCGTCTTCACTCTGTACCAAAGATAAAGTCCATCCAGTAGGCCCATGTTCTATTTTTACTCAAGGGCAATAAAAATTATCATCTCCATTACTTTACCTAAGTTGCTGTAATGTTTCCCATTATGCTGGGATCCAAGGAAATTAGTCGGTAGTACTTTATCTTGTGAAATATTACATTCCAAGAGGGAGCAGGCAGGGGAAAAACGTCTGTCTAGGAAACAGTGCTTTTACCTACAGTGCACCTTACAGGGCTTAAGGGTCATTTACCAGCGGTAATCAAGCCCCATCCCCATGAGCTTTGGTTATGAGAAGCTACTGGGTGGTCCACGCACAGGCATAAGGTAGGGTGACGCAAGGTCTCTTGTGTCTACAGGCAATACGGTGAAGACAACGGTCTGGCCACAGCGTCAGGGAGCTGCTGGCAGCTCCCTTTTGGCTCTTGACAAGAAATGCCGTGACTCCGGCCCAGCACCAGTAGCTCAGGAAGCAAAGAGCTTGTCAGAGGAGCCCCCAGCATCCCGCATGCAGCCTCTGCTGCACAGAATATATATACAGGAAGGTATGACTCTAAGACACAAGGGATTTGAAAACAAGAGCTAGAAAAGGTCAACTGTTATGAGAAGGCTTTTCTTCAAATAGAGTTTTTTACGGCTTCTCAAGATCAAATTTCAAAGGTTTTGAAAGGTTTTCATTTCCACCATCCTTTAGGGAAACTTTTCCACAAACTATTAGATTTCCCCATTAGAAGAATGTGTTACATGGCAAAACTGTTCCTTTTCTAGAACAGGCTTTATGAAGAAAAGTCAGACACTGTAATCAAGCACAAACCTTTAGCTCTGCTTAAATACTACATAAACTTGCAAATACAAGAACTGGAGAAATAGAGTGTGCCTGTCACTACCAGTGGTTCTCACTACTTGTTGCACATCATTGACAATGGAGATTAAAGCAGTCAGTATCAATCTAGCCAATAGTTTCACTCTGAAGGGCTGCGATAGCATTTGAGTTTCACACGCTGGAGCAAATTTGTTTAGAAATAATTATTTTAATGGATTTGTTTTTAAAGTGTGAAAACATTTTTATAAGACAGAGTTAATAAACACTTATTACAGTATTTAGATTGGGCCTAATTTAATTTGATATTGTTCCTTTAATTTAAACAATTACATCTAGCTGTAACTCCTCAAATCTAGACTAAATAATTCATTATTATCTCTGCTGGTGAATATATCCTTCATATAAATGTGGACAATTAGAATGTACCCACTTAGTCATTGTCAAGCCCTGCAGAGATGCAGAAGGTACAGCGCATGCTGGGAACCACTGCGTCAGTAATAAAGACAAGGGCAGCTGCAAAATGTTCCAATTTATGCAAATTAAAACATTTTCATGGAAAATAAATAAGCTCGATTAATTTTACTGAATGGTTCTTGACAGATTATCTTTGTAACTCTGAATTAGCAGCCTTTTCATCGGATGTACCTCGTTGTCATACAGTGATGTACGTGAAAGGAAGAGCTGCAGCTACGCACTGCCGTTTGCTGGCCTGCACCTGAGGAGGTCCCACGGACCGGTGACTCCCCCTGCGCCTGCCACTAAACGTGAAACCACCAGCAGAAGCAGGGACACAGGGGTGTGGAAGAATCAGGGCTTTACGGTTCATCTGTCATCCGGGATCCCTGCGTGTTTCTGTAAGAGGTTAGGCCACGGATACATTCGTTGAAAGCCGGCTTGGTTAGCGCTGGGATGAGGGGCGAAGAGACCAATGCCACCGGGTTGGCCTGCATTCCTCTGGCCGCTTCCCCTATGGACCCTCATCCCAAGAATTCTCAGGGTGATCTGATTTTCCCAGCTTCCATCTGTTTAAAAGCTGCGACAGGCTGGCTGCTCCTGTATAAAGCAGCTGCAGTGAAGCTGAGGATGAGACTCGCTGCCTTTAGTGCTAAATAGAAGTGAAAACACGAACTGTGCTGAGGTGCAAGACAAACTGAAGAAAGCTCACATGTGCTGTACTCCTTTTTGATTCAGCATCTGTTCTTACTTGCTTTGATTTAATTCTGAGAGTTTTCTGGAGGCATTCATTTCCATGGAAACCTTTGAATAAACGTTTCCTTCTCTCTTTTTGTTTTCAGATTAAGTTTGGAGAGCCATAGCCACAGCCCAGCTACACTGGGATATCCTTTGTCCCCCTTTCTACAGGGCTTGAAAAACCTAAGAAATGTCTTGGACTGAATCTGTGAGCCTCCTTTTGAACCAGGCTATATTCAGCAGTTACTCTACTTTGGTTTACCTTGGGCAGGCACAGCAAAACAGGGACGGTAGCATGCATGGAAGTTTTAAGCGCATCTTAGCTAATAAAAAAGGCACAGCCCCATTTCTACAAGCAAAACAGGTTTAATGGATTGTTCCCAACAAAAAAAACATTCGCTTGAAACCTGATACAGCTCTGACGACTACTTTTTGCCTGGTGACATTCTTACGCCCTAATTCTTAGGAATTAGGGACCGTAGAACTGAAGAGAAACGATTTTTAAATCTATCTCTCTTTCAGATCTTGTTAAACTATCACTGCCAAAACCAGATAGCCCATAATGAAGTTCGTGTATAAGAACAGATCCTTGACCAATGTAATTGCCAAGCAAGGTGTATAACTGCAAAGTTAGAGCTTCTGTTCAGCTTTGCTTTTACCTGATTATCCAGGGAATTCCAGAAGTTGTTCCTTTAGACTGACGTTAGCCTTCATAACTTTTTACCATTGATATTAAAAAATGAAAACAAAAGCCGCAACTTACCTCATCATAGTATTTGTTAGTATACTGGTAGAGTTGGTGTAGAGCCACAAGCGTATTTAAGGAATCGGTATGTGCCTGTTAAACAACACGAGCAGGCAGGAAACGTCAAGATATGATCACAGACAGCTGAAAGTTACACACATGCACAACTGTTGGACACAATATACAAGATTTGCAAATTGCAAGATTTGTAAGCTATGCATCCTGCAACTTCTGTTAAATGACAGTTGGGGCAGAAAAAAAGGTGTGTGAAAACTTGTGTTTGGTGATTTTTAGATCCAAGATTTTCTTGATGGTGCTTTTCCAGCCTGCCCACAACTCTGACACTTGAGGTGGAAAATATTTTGACCTCTGAACATCAAACCACAGACTACAGCTCAAACATCTGTTAACAATATGGGTATGTAAACGAAAGCATTTACTCAGTACGATCTACGCACTGTTGAGATACTAAGCATTGGTCCTGTCACTGTCATGGCTGTTTGAAATCCTTTCTCCAGCTCTTTTTAACTCTTTGGAATTATTCACACCTCACTACAGCAAAGATCATGAGCACATATATGTTTGGAAAAAGCCATCTGAATCATGAATATGGAAATGGGGCGGGGGTGGGGGGAGAGAGAGAGAGAAAAAGGACTTTAAATGAGTCCTTCCATTTAAGGAAATAACCCTTCCATTACCTCTTCCTCCTGCCCTCCCTGACGTTTTACTTATTTAGTGAATGTACTCTACCTGTCTAAACAGATGTTTTTCATTCAAATGTATAGGATTCAAATCTCTAGCTATGCCTTTAGTCTTTTAAGTTAGTTAAGAAAATGAAGAATTGCAAAATATTGCTGCTGGCATAAATGATTACCCAAGGCATAAAGCAGCGGAGAAACATCCATCTTCCCTTCCTCTATAAAAGTCACTTCTAGAGCTGGACAAAATTTGCCATGTTCAATCACTCCTTTCATATTCATTTTTATCATAATTTATAATGTAAACAGAAAGGATCAACATCTTTTGCTGATGTTCAAACATTCTATTGAATTTACTTTTAATCAACAAACATTTTAATTTTATATACATCTCAATTTGTGTAATAAATACAGTGAACTAGAAAATGAAATGTCACTCCAGATGAGTTTTGTAGTGAATGACTGAAAATAGAAATGCTCTCGTGAGGATGTAGATTTGCAAAATGTTAGGTCCTAAGGGTACTGAAATAAACAAACCACAAAAAATTCCCCAAACATCCTCCTGACGCTAGAACTCTTCAACTAAATCAAGCAAATGAGCAAACCAGCCAGCAAGTACACTGTCTCTTTGCTCAGGCTAAACAACATCTTTAAGACTGGTGAGGGCCTCTCCTGGTTCTCCAAGTTAAATTGAGTGCTACGACGGCACAAGCCTGCTCTAGCTAAGATGAGCTGCGCAGCGGACAGGCTCTTTCAAGACCGAAGCAGGTTTTGTAGTGTCTTTGCTCCACTGGTCTCCAACCAGAGTCCCCACCTAACAACCACCCCCCTCTGCTCTTCTCCCTGAGAGGTAACCCCCAATAACCTATAATGCAAAAAGAAAAAGTGCCACTGAGCGAGCACACGGATAGCTTCTCACACGCAGCGTAAAGCAGAAGCATTGCCCTCATATAGACAGCTCCAACACCGGCTACACTTCATGTACGTGCCTCCTCTTTCATTTCTGGAATCTAATTTTTGCTGTGGTAGCACTCTGAATTCAGTCATTACTTGTTATCAGTATGATCAATGCTAAAAAATCCTCTATACGCTGTGGAGAGAAAACACAATTTGAGAGTGCTATAATTTTTCCACAATGGATGTGAAAAAATCTGAACACTTTGCTCTGGAACCTACATCGCTCAGACAGATTAGCGATGATAACCATTCTTGGTTCCATTCAATAATCAACATTTCAAAGGGCTAAAAGGCATAGCTACACTAAACAGGAGTATTTCAGAGATCTATGAAATAGCTCATTGGATGTTCGCACATACAAAAATCCCATTTGTTGAGTTAGAAAGAGAAGACAAACAGTGCTATACTTGGCTCCAATGTCAGGACAAGAAAATGGAATTCGTTCTTACCCTAGAAATCTCTGCTAGGTGGGTATTCATGTCTTGGTCACTAACTGGCACCATCTGACGAATACCTTTGTAGTAACTGCAACAGATGAAAACAGACTTTCAACTAGGTGAAATACACTGTGGTTTTCTGGTAACTGTTTTTCAATTTTGCAATTATTTTAAACATGCTTCCTAATAATGCGGGAGATGCTCTACAACAACAGACCAGTGATTCCTTCAGTAATCCTGCCTTCCAACAGTCATTAGTACCTTCACAACAGAGTCAAATCATACCTGATTGTGCAGGGCCATACCACAGGAAAGGAATCTATTTATAACTGCAGCCGATGACTATTTTAGGTCTTCAAACTTTTGAAGTCATCAGCTAGCAAGAGTTTTGTCCTGCAGCAGATCTTCCATAGTATTCACAGAATTGCCAATTAGTAAATGAATAAAAGCAGAGATGGAACAGAAGAAATGTTTGTGAAAATGTTTTCAGGATTTGATCTCTGCTGTGTTGTGGAAGTGCAGCACTGGTTACACAGTAACAACCACTGCAGAAAACAGTTGCAGAAAATCCTATTTTCTCCTGACTAAATCTACCCATCTGTCTGCACAGACATGAACATGCACTGGCTCATAACGGCGCTCCATTTCAACCCTGCCAACATCACCACCAAGGGAACGCTTTAACATTCAGGTGTAAAATTTTTAACATTTGACAGTTGACTTTGACTACCTCAGCATTCCCTTTTCCTCTTACACAGGCTTAAAGCCCTAACAATGCTGAATAAACATGAAAGGAGTCTATACTTACTCTTCCACCATTTTCTTATAGTTAGAGATTTCTTTTGCATAAAGTAATTTATTACTTGGGGAATCCTGAAAATTTATAAAAGAGAAACTTGGTTGATTTATGAACAGCTCTAGGAAGCAAAAGAAAGTCACGAACTTATGATCAAGCCTTTATATTCACATGCACTTGAGCTTTGCAGATACTAACATTTGGATGTTTATTAACATTGGTGGGATTATTTGTCCTAAAAGAACAAAGTTTACACACGGCATCACGGTTGAATTTTACAAATGTATCAATGCAAGATGATACTAAATCATTGGTGGACAACAAATAATCAGTTCTTAAACTTGTTTTTTATAAAAGCCGTTGCTATTTTCTCCTTTTTATAAACATCAATTGGCAGACTGCAGAGTTACACTGACATGTTCACCAACCTGTTAAGAGGTGAAATGCTAACTTCATTATAAAACTAAAAAGACACTATCAAAGCTGTATCTCTCCAGAGAATGCGTGTTGTCTATGAGGATGCCCTTTGTCCTGTCAGGCATGAGCGTAGCCAGGATGTAGAATGCAAATCACTTACTCTGCTTAATTTGTGCTCTGTTCTTGTGCAAGCATCCATGAAAGTCTGTGCAATGACTGACAAGGAAGCATCCACTACTTCGTGAACATGAACATCAAAGATGAAATGGGGATTTTTCAGTATGTTTACCCAGAATCTAAGAGGCAGGCTGCAAAGCAAGGAAAAAGATAAATAATCCTTTTTACACAATAAATGTTCTACAATAAGCACATCACATGAAATTAAGCATGGGTTTTGCATTTTGATGCAACAAACAGTGAAGCTTAATTTTGTATTTCAACATTTATACAAGCTATTTGTTGTCTGGTTTCCATGTCTGAATACCAAGCCTTTACATCTCTCACAGAAAAACTCATATGAATCTCAAGTGCCCCAAAATAGCAAGAGAAGATGTCTGCATGGTCAGAGAAACCGCCAGAGTAGTATTTCATTAGATTTTGTGCTTTGACAGGTAAATCTAGTCCCACTTGCCTCTTGCTTTCCTATTCTCTGAGAAAAGACAAAAACTAAGTGGTAAATCTGCCAATGACAACCCCAGAGGTAGGTTGGCTTCATTTTTGCAGCTTCTAGGCTTGCAGGGAATCCTTTTGGTCATATAAACATATTATCTCAATTAAAATGATTCTGAGAATTATAAATGAAATTTACTCTAATGTGTGGTAAGGGTGCCAGTACATACCTGGGAATTACATTCTCACTTCTCTGCAAGTATTACTCTGTTCATACCGTACCTGTTTGTTTTCCAGATGTGAATGGTATCTTCATCCTTGATGTCATGTTTTTCTGCTTGCTCATCAAGAAAGTCAAAGAAGTATTTCACAGCTGGTGGCACCACGTGGTTTGAGTTGAGCACACTATGAAAGAAGTTATCTACAAACTGCTGAAGTGTCCCCTGAAAGCAAATTAAAAAAAAATCTCTTACATTGGTGTTACAGGCTGAACTTGGTGCCATCCTATAATCTTTTATTCCTATTGACTCTAACAGCCCAGAATCCAGTTGCAGTCACTGATGGCCTTCATCCTGAGTGCTAAGGGTACCGGGTGACAAAACCCAAGCAGATTCTTAGTGCAGTGACCTTGCAAACTGCTGACACAGTAAAGATCTTCTAGAGAACAATTTTATGTTCTAGCCTGAAAGGCTGCGACTTCACCAGCTATTCTATGGCTTTCACAGAGAGGTGTGCTTCCTGCTTGACAGAAGCAGCAGAAACTGGTTGCTAAGTACACAATACATTTACACGTCAGGGTTGCTGTGCACATAAAATAACTGTTAGCCATTTTTTAATGGTTTTGCAGCTTCCCACCTCCAGTTTCTCTGACTCCAGAGTACCATGCAATTTTAGAAAAAGACTGAGAGGAAGAAGTACCAGTGAGCATTTGACTTTTTGTTTCAGGGCAAGCACTTGGGTCTCATCAGACACCCAGTCTGGCCCAGTTCCATGAACTCAACCAAGCCCAAGGAGTGAAGCATCCCCAGAGGGCTGTGTGCTTGGTTGGATTCCTGCATCTGCCTAGACCTTAAGGACTGCAGCCTCAGAGACTGTCCCTTTGTTTTAGAGATGACCCCGTTGAGGCTACATGCAGTTCATCCCTGCTCAGCTGGTTGGCCCTATGGACACATTTGAAGGGCTGCATCCTCTCTCTCACTGTCACTCCAGCTGCCAGCCTCAGAACAGGGCAGGGACCGAGAAGGCAAGGAGCCCTAAGCCACTCTGCTGTCAGCAAGGACACATTGACAGTCCTTGGGTTGTAGGGGTAGCTGTGGTGCCAGCCATAACACCTCACCAGCTCTGTATGACTGGTAATAATCTATAAACCGGCTATTTGGAACAGAAAAGCAGCGGCTGCAAAGGAGTTATTAACAAAGAGAGGGATATAAGCATCTTGCTGGCTCTCTGTCATCAGTCTATGTCATCTATGCACAGACTTTCCTTCACATCCACTTTCACAGTTGGACAAATGGCCTTATCTGGAGCCAGACCACCCTCATTTTCATGAGAAGCCTGGCTTTAGGGTCTTTAAACACATTATTCTAAATTGTTTCTGCAAGGAGGAATGCTTTGCAAAGTTATTTTGCTTGTGATCCATTTGCAGATAAAGACTATTATTATTCGAAAACATTTTTATTTTTCTAGGTTATACTGCAGCATTGGTCACACACAAGGACAGGGAAATATAAGGCTCTGTAGTAGTTTACAAAGCATTTGGTTCAAAAGACAACACAACAAAATATTACCTAAACAGGTGGCACAGAGAATATCCATCTTTGTCTTGCAAGAAAAATCCTTATTTAACGAACACATAATCATGTTTCTCAGCTGTGACTGGGAGTTACACTTTGTCTCTTTCCCAGTAATGTTCCTCAGGGCATATTAGTGACTTCAAGCCCTGAATACCAGCTTGTATGTACATGACACATATTCAAAGTTGCAGTCAAATGCATGACTAATATTTGCATCATTTTCTTCAGTTGTACCTCAAAATCTATATAAGTAAGGTGTAACCGTGGCACATCTGAGCCCTACCTTCACAGAAAGAAGTCTGGTCAGGTAGATTTCTGTAATAGCTTTGGTCCTCTCTTTTTCTTTCACACTGCCCCGCTTTGATTTACCTTCATCTATTTCATCTACTGGCCGGACTAGATGCCAGACCTTATTTTCATCTTCCAGGAGTGCGTGCCCTAGAAACAGTAATTGCAATAATTACAAAAAACACCCCACGCCCAAAACCAGCAACAAGAAAATAATCATATACATAAGTACATGCAAGATCTCTATTCCCTATCCTTAACAAACCTGCCCTCTTGCCAAGAGTATCTAGATTACTCTGTTCCTGTCCAACATATACAACTCAAGCACTATATGTTCAATAATATGTAAGCTGAAAAAGCTTGCTTTTGTCAAGAGCAAAGGGAGAGGAAGAAATCGCGCAATAAGGAAACTCCTGTTTGGTCATGTAAGCACAGTATACGTATTTTTTAAGGTCCATGCACTGAAGTATTCTGCCTCTCTGTGAATTCTTGGAGATATGATCAAGTTACAGAAGCTCAGCTAGATTTGACCCAACAGCCACCACTGAAAGAGCAATCGTAGCCTACTCCAGGTACAAGACTAGATATTGTTGTAGCAGTTCTGCTGAATATGGTAGTGATAATTCAACCTTTTTGAATATGGTAGTGATCTCAACCTTTTTTCTAGGTATTGCCATTACAATTTACATTTTTACCCTAATTGCTGAGTTCAAAGTATGGTACCTCAGTTCAAACCTGCCTTTATCAGCATTTGACCAGCACCACTTGACTTTGTAGCTGAAAGGAGGAAACGTGCATCCCTTTGCTGAGGGGGCATGAACTCCAGCAGACAGAGGTAATGACTGCAGCAAATTCATAATCCATTATAATAAGATTTTTAAAAATTTGTTTGTCAGTATTCATAGCTTAAAACACCAAGTAGGTTGCGATATAGCAGAAACAGGAGTAAGCACCTGGGTGCTAATGGCAGCTCATCTGCTTACAGTGCCTCTCTATGCTATTATCTGTGGCTTGGCTGTGCATCTGGTCCCTGAGCTTAGTTCAGTGATCACAGAGTGGAATAAAGGGAGTCTTGCATTTCAGGATCAACACGAATGTTCACACAAACTCTATGCTTGAGAATCTTTTGTTATGAACAGTTCTAAAAGAGATTATACAACTGTTTTAACTTGCAATTCATGTCCCTTGAAAAAAGATTGTGTGTCACAAACTTTGTTTCTAATTTTGCTTGTTCTTCCTTTAATTTCTGAATTTTTATATCTACTTGGCATAGTCCCTACAATTGATGGCGCTTTCCCAGTGGAAGTTACTGAATCAGTGCATTTAAAATCATTGACGTCTTAAAAATGTGAAAGTTATTTTTCCCATAAAATTGTGATTCAGCCTATTGCGCAAATTATTTTGCATTACTGCTAAGTTTTATGCTTTAATATACATATCTAAAGTAACTGAATCTTGTTACAGGCTAAAATGTCAGTTTCTAATTGCATGAATTTTGTCCTTTCACATTTTGGCCATAGTAGTTTATTAACTAAGTTCCTCAACAGCTACATTAAATTTACCAGCTTGCATGTATGTTCAATATTTTACATCACAGGGGAAAATAACATTCATGTGTAATCTTGCCAAGCCAACACTTCTGCTTGATTCTACTTTATATATCCTCATGAAAAGCATTAGCTCTGCAGTCTTCTGAGGCCTTTACTTCTTCTAACCAGGTAGGGAAAAAAAAAAAATCCCACAGTAAATCACATTGTCCTTTGAGAGTCCTTAATTTGACTTGGAAGTTCATGTGAATGAAGCAAGAAAGAAATAAAAGCTATCACTTTATTTTGAAGCAGCTGCGATTTCGCAATTGATACCATTCACAGCAATCATCTGCCAGTACAGTAAGAACCGCTGCTGGGCCTGAAGTCTGGAATTTCTTTTGCAATGCCTGTTATTTACTGCTGTAAATGAATAGATCAAATCATGCTGTTAGAGCAGAAACTATTTTCTAGTCTTATGTCAGTCACTTCGTAGACTTCTGCTTCCTCCTTTGATTCAAAGGAATTTATCCTCTTTCTGCCCTCCTGATGGTGTATTTCCCAGTTTAACTTTGGAGACAAGAGAAACAATCAAAGGAGTTTCCACTGAGATTACTGGCCCTTTTGTGCAGCTTAATTTGGCCCGTGTTTGTTTAGCAACAACAGAATTGGCTACTAGTGAAATAGTCATCTCACAGGAAAGTAGGGGTTAAGAGACCACAGCTCAACCAGATGAACTTCTACAACACAAAGATCCCACTTCATTGCTAAATATAGCAGGACGAAAGAGGAAGAGAAATTCAGAACATGGGGCAACAAAACATGTCAGCACTATGGTTGCTAAGAGAAAATAATATTTCTGGGAGATAATATTTTCCTCAATGGAAATGTAGGAGGTGAAGAAAATGAAGGACAGGGGAAAACACCTCCTTTTTTTGTGCAGTACCACACTATGTGTCAAGCCATTAGCAGAGTGAAGATTTTGCCCACTGGGTCAAATGCTTCCCCACGAACTCTTTGCCTTGGCCCTTGGGCATTCTTTGGCCAATATAAAAATAATGCTGGGAGGGAGGTTAGTGCCAAATATTAACTGTGCTGACTAATTATAGTGGTATGAACCATGATGCAAACATGATGGAGGCAAGCAAAATGGCAACAGGCAATGGAGCCCCTTTCCCCTTGCGTGGCCTGCAGCAAATTAGCTTCCTTCCAGTCTCCTCCTGCCCTGTGAATACACTGCTCCATGGAGGTGAAGGAAGGGCTGCCCTACAAAGATCTGCTAATTGGTATTTCCGATCTGCAACTTGCTGTCTATTTTTATTCAGAATTAAAAAAAAAAAAACCCCACAAAAAAGAAACCCCAGAGAAAAACCCTAGAATAAGAGTGTTCTTTTGGCTTATAGCTCAGTAGAGAAATACTAGCATGAAATCATTGAAACCATTCTCCATCTTGATGCAAATTAGTAATTGCATTTATTATCTCCAGAAGCAAAAGATGCTGCCTTTAATTTGTCACAACCTCCAGCTTCTAGTGTCTTCCTGTTAGAAGCTGTGAATCAAAAGCAGCATGGAAGCAATGCCAGGTTTTAGAGCAACATCTCTGAACATGGTTTTACATTTTCGTTCTGTGCAAAGCCTAGTACTTTGGCAGACAGTCAATGGCTTCAGCTGACACTTCTCAATGCAAAAGGTGCAAGTTAATGAGAGACTCTGAATAAAAGGAAAACCACTTTGTCACAAGCCTCATTCATAGAGCTGGGATAGGATTTCCATTTCTTCCAACCCTGTAAATCCTTGTGTCATATAAATGTGTATGTGTGGGAGGGGAAGCCTCTGATCCTCTCCTCTGCCTTTTATATGCGCAGCATCTCACAAATCACTGTCACTGCAGGCTCTCACTTTGCACTAGCTTTGTAACATTTTATAGATTTCCAAAAGAATAAGTTGTCACCAGGACCCTTCAGTGCTAAAGAAAATGGGCTAGCCTGGCATGAAATGCTCTCTTTCCAAGTTTGTACGCTGCCGTGGTGCAAGACAGGGTGTGGAGAAGAAACATGGTGGAAGTTATCTTCACTCCATACTTTGGGATCTGAATTCTCTCTGCAGATTATTCTCTCATGTATGAGAGCCCTTGTGTGGCAGCACTGTCCGCAGAAATCTGCTCTTCCTTTACAATTTAGTATGCCACATGTATAACTAAGGAGTTCATCCTGGAGTACAGATTGTGTATGTTCAAAGAGCTTCATCATACTGAATCATAAGTAAAGATATAACCATAGTGAAGGAGGAAAGAAAAAAAAACCAAACAAAAAAAGAAACCCACATGGTCTGGTCCTCCACTGCCTGCCACAAGGGTAGCAAGGTGGGGAGGGCCTGGAAGTCCAGAACGGGAGACTGAACACCTCTCTGTGTTAAGAAAGCAAAGCAAGCAAAGGACACCACCAAATCATGGTCCGCTCCACCTCTTGAGTGCAGGTGACTGCCGCCTCAGCAGTTATCTCAGCAATCAGTGCAACCAAACTGAACAGAGACTCAGCTCCTCACCTGGCTGCACTTCGCTGCCCTCCGTATTAAACTGGATGGGTTTTTAAGTTAACATGCTCGATTGGCACCTGCTGTGAAAGACCAGTCACCACTTGGCCCACTATGGCAGGCACTTGCAGTAAAAAGGTGAGAGGATAGCAGCAGAGGTGTAGCCACGACCATTAGCAGACCCTTCAAAGATGTTGGAAAAAGTCTCAATAGAAAGTATCCAGGAGGACAGAGTGAAAAGTAAATGGCAAGTAATTCTGCCTGTCCTAATTTCCTGGCCAATACTCAACACAAATGGGATGGAAGTCTGTGCAGTTTTGTTAAATAGCAATATAAGTCAGAGCTATCAGCTGAGACTCATCTTCTTGAAAAATGTACTTTTCTGGCATATTATTTCCAATCTGTTTGACTGCCCAGCCCTTGAAACCTATTAAATCTAAGATCAGTAAATCTGTTTAAAGGAATGAAACTATTAGGTGAAGCAATGGCTTTTGCAATCAGTGCTAGATAGAAAAGCATATCAAATGAGCTCATAGAAGGAAGAATGATCTCAACAATTATTGTTCCATAAATCTAACTTCTATCTTGTGTAAAATAACTGAATATAAGGATTAAAAAAGACAGAGAAATGGAACATCTGAAAGGTAAAGGAAACACGTGACAAAGAACATACACATACAAGTAAATATTTCCATAAAAATCTGAGTGTATTTTAGGCTGTAATGGATATTTTGTCTCAAGAGGTTTTGAGATAAAGGAAATTGGTCTAGACAGAATACTAACATGTAGAAGTAAAAGCTTTAAAAGACAGGTTGCAAGCTAACAGGTTACCTTCCGTGTGAAGAAGTCCAGCATACTGTAGCAGACAGCAATACAAGAATTATGCAACAGCTGTGTTAGTGATGTGAAAGAGAGGAAACATTATAAGGAAATTCCTGACACTAACTTACAGTGGATTGAAAACCTCAAAAAGAAAAGTGGAAAACACTGCATCTAAAGAGATAACACGTATGGAACGAACAAAGCCAACCAACAAACCCTGGAAACAAGCTAGCATAGCATGAAACATCACTCAAAGCGAGTGAGACACAGAATATGAACGTACAGAGATGAGTTTGCAAGTCAATATAGTTGCAAAAATGCAATTAAAAAATACATCAGACCCATTATGTCACAGAGATGGGAGCTGGTCTCTACCGCGGTTCATCTAGAACACTGCAATCAATTCTCAGTCTAACAAGAAATGGAAGAAATTCAGAGAGGAAAGTAAGTAAAGGAAGAAGGAAGGAGTAAAAGAGATAAAGCTTTGGAAAGATGAAACACATGGTTTGACTGTAGATGTAGTGGGATTAAGAAACAAAATATGCAAGGAAATGTTTGCTAAGCATGCTTTCTATTAAGCCGGGGTATGGACTCACAGCACTCATGGTTAAAGCCCCATTATTTAAGGCTTTTATAATGAGGACAAAGAAAACCATTGCAAGTGTTCAGTGGGTAACACACAACAAATAAGCCCTGTATAGGCTGGTGGGGAATATCTAGCTCCACAGATGAGCTTGATAAAGAAGATCAAGACAGCAATGTCACTCTCTCTGTGTGGATTTTGACTTCTAGTCATTTTGGGAGGTAGGGAAGCCACAAGAAACTTACTCTCCCCTGGGACATCTTGCTGATTATCCTCTGGCTGTTGGGAAATTCCCATTTTCGATAAGATGAGTGTGGCACCATCTCGGACCTTTGAAAATACAAACACAGGGATGTTATTCAAAAGAAGTATGCACTACTGAACCTCTTTCTTAAAACCTAAACTGCAGTTTCTGTAATCTTTTGCAGCGAATCTAGACCTATGATTAATGCTGCCTTTCAAAGGCTTCTTGGGCAACTGGTTCTGCAACTCAGAACAGACTCCCTCCCCCTCCTTTAATAAGACATCCCATCAACACGTCCTCTGAGATTACTGAAAATGCTAGAAGCACCTCCAAAACTTAAGTGGTACCTCAGTCTGGTGTGGGTGCCCTTTGTACAAAAATGGGGTTTATCATGAAGAATCAGACCTATCTGTTTTCTGAGGGAAAACTAACTAACTTCTATCTTTCCTAATCAGGATATCTGTTGTTAGAAAGCAGTAAGTAGCATACAAAGGAAGATAAGTGGATTGCAAGTGCTTGGTAGAGTGCACAGTATAAAACCTAAAACAGACGGTACAAAAACATCAGCATCTGCTCTCCTGCCCGGGCTGCTGAAAAAACCAGACCAACCCAAAATCTATTTAGCAGCAGAGCAAGGACAAAGGCAATTCTCAGGGGTAGGAAGTGGTAGAGAAAAGAAGAGATGAATAAGAGATCTCGCAAAAGGAGCTTTTGAATGTTCAAAGGGGAATTCGGATTTGGACACTGCAATGATGAGGAAACCATAGTGCTGGCATTCAGGTGATGTGTTTTTGGTAAGATGTTTAGCCAATGACTAGTCCTAGCCTTTCACACTCCCAGGCTTTTACTACCTAGACTCAGAGCTAGGGTTTGGGTTTTTTTTATTCTTTATGTAGCACAGAAGTTTCTCTAAAAACAAATAAAGATTTTATTTATTACTAGAGAACAGTTAACAGATGCGAACAACCGCTCTGAAACACCTCCTTACATTATAATGCATTAGTGTGTTGATACGTTTCCATCTGCCATCTCTTTGGGATGTTAAATCCAAGTCTGAGAGGATCTGTGCAGTAGAACCTGGGCGCCACTCTAAGGGGCAATTAAAATGAGAAAAAACAGTTTTTAACCATGTGCAAAAATAACTATTTCAAGAATGTTTCTGTTTAGAGACCCACTGGCCCATTGTGGAACATTAAAAGAAGTAATTTGGCACATGCTACGATGTGTGTTGTTTTAGTGCTTAATAGTTTGGACTTTATTACTGAAGTCTGCATGAACAATTCCTAACCATAACATGACTTCCAATTATTTTCTACATAAAGTTAAATTTCTTTGCATCGAATACTACAAATATGTACAATAAGAACTGCTATCAGTCCAAAACAGAGCAGGACTTTGTATGGAATAGAAAAGGCATTTTTTTTTAATTTACTAGGATTTTCTGAAGAGCAAGAATTGCATTCTCTACTTTCAGATTAAGGCAGTAATGAAGATAGTGCAAAACTATTAATTGGAGCTTTCATTATGAGATTATTAGATTTTAAGTTATGTCAATATTTTTTTTTCTCAAGAAGAGAACAGCAATTTTGAAAGCCTTCAAGAAGGATGATTTTCAGAGGCTGGGTGGCTCATCATCTCCTGAAAGTGCTGCTCCTATAAGTTATAATTCTTTTGAATAACCATCATAAAAGAAAGTAAAAATCAGTACCAGTTTCTGAAATTGCATCATTACTTCTCCATCAGTTAATTGTCCATGCTGTCATTATCACATTAATTAGTACCTGAGATACTGACTCTGTCAGACATGAATACATTTGTGCTAACAGTAATTAACAGGCTCTTTGCACACTAATGACAGTACAGAAAACTTTCTAAGAGTCAGGAAAAAGAACTCTGTAAGAAAGCATCAATTTTTAATGCATATTAAGGTTTTTGCATCCAGCTGAACATGAATTCAACTTTTTTCTTTAAAACAATAAATTGCTTTTATAGGCTTTTTTTTTGGAAAATATAAAGTCATACAACATATTTCACCTGCTTAATACAGTATCACAAGTAGCTACCTACCAAGAACTACACTCTCAGCTTTTGGCCACTGAGAACATGGCAGATTTCGATAGACTTGGTCTATTATCTTTTCCTTTACTTGTGATATAGTATCACAGTTCAGCACTTTCACAGGTATGGAATCGGTTCCTCCATCTTGTACATACACATTTACTGTCTGTAAAAAAAATGAATGCGTATGGTTATTAAGACAAATCAGCCGTGAATTAACTTTATCTCTGTTTTTCTGAGTGATTTAAACGAAGACACTATCTACAATTCACTGTGCAATGATTATTGCACAGCAGCACTTATTTGCAATAGGAGCATGGATAATTTGAGGGATCCTTTGCTGTTACGCAGCCAACCAGCTATTGTAAATTCCAGCTAATTCCTCCCACTATGACAAAACAGAAAAGATGCAGAATAGATTTACTCATGTCTAATGTGCTACTGTTATTGAGTCTTGGGAATTTATTAAGGAGGGACACACAAGAACAAAGCAGCTGGACCACTGACTAGTTACATGCTTCTCATATAACCTGATAACCTGCAACACAGAAAAGCACAAGTAATGCAGTGCCCAAACTTAAGAAGTTCTCAATCATCATTTGAGGTGCACTTTGCTGAACTCCTAGAATATTGTGTGCTTTTTTGCCTTCCTTTACGCTGTCTTCATGGTTGTCGTTTTACTTCACAAGCTGAGTGGACTAGGTCTGTACATACGGTGATTTAACATGGCTCAACTGATGAGCAGTGACTTGTTCAGCTCCTCTAACTTTACCTCCTATGACCAGCTGTTCATTAGATATATACAAATAGACATATGTGCAGACACACACACACACACATATATATATAGATACATAAAAGACATTTATATCACCTTTGGTGTTTGAAGATTTCATTTACTGCTTACTATTGTCACAATAACTCTTAATAGCTCCAGGAAATATACCTACTGTTTTCTTGTTAGTATTGACATGGTTTTTTTTTAATGTTAAAGAGAATTTCTTGAAAGCCTGTAATTTGCTAAATCTAGAGTGATTTTTTTAAAAGTAGCTTCGCTATGTAAGTGTCAGTTTTAATACAGACAAAAGCAAATGAGAAAACAATGGCTAGGAGACCTACCCAGAAGGAAAAACCCCACCAAAACCAAACAGATGTTATGAAAAGCCTCTTTCTTTCACTAGCTGAATCAGTACAACAACTCAGAGCCCTTGTGGATCTTTTACCAGTCAGGTAGCTTTGGAGGCCAGGCATATTCAAAGCATCGCAGCGCTCAGACACATACGGTCCTGCCAACCATAATGCCTGAATTTTATCATCTCAGACCTCAGAAATAAACTTGAATGGCTGGTATTTTTAAACAGTGAAGAAAAGCTATGCCATACGGCAGTCAAATGAAACATGATTGCACTGTCCCCTGACAAAACTCTCAAGCTAATCATGAGATTTCACCTTCCTTTTCCTATTAGCTTTATGGTAATTAGACATGATTTTGCTGCCGGTTCAGTATGCAGCATGTCAGTGTAACCAGCGATGCAAAACAGATTCATCTTTTAAATAAGAACAATTAGAGAGCAGACAACTGCTCTATACCATACTTTCCCACCATGTCTTACTTTCAAGGCAGAAGTGAACTAATTAACTCACGCTTTAACCTACCTTGGTGTACAAATGCTCCCTAACTGTTCACATTTACCACAACAATGTCAACATCATGCCAAAGATCCCAATAATTTATAGCAATAGTAACCCCCTTCATAATCTTTTATCATACATACACATATACTCATATATCTCGTCAACTTCCATGGATGTACACACATAAAATCCTTGTTTGACATGAAATCGCTAAATCTGGACCAAATACTGCTACTGTACAATGTTATAATGTTTAATATTTAGCTAGTATGCTTGTTGTGCCCACATCTGATTGCATACACAAATTTTCTGCTTTCACACTGCATTCATTTAGCTTAATTGCTGGCATTGGCTTTTTTTTTTGTGAAAAGAAACAGACTGAATAAAGAATTATTGCCATTAAGCCTTATACGATGTACAGTGCAAGCAAATTTTGTTCTCCATACACAGGAGAAAATAGGATCAGCATTGCCAATCAGTGTGGTTTCTATGGGTAGCTCTTTCAGCTCAGATATGAAGATGACAACTCAACTAATCCCCAAAATATCAATTGAACTTAAAATATTTCTTCTTGTCCAGTACACCCTTTTCCTCCAGGCAGTCTAGGTCACAGTCTAGTGATTCTGTGAATGAAAGTCCTACAGCAATCTCCTCACAACAGCCCTCCTATCAGCATCCCTTCAGAATACACAAAATGGTGTGGGTTTTTTTTTTTTTTTCCCCAGGACTTAATAAAGCTTTTTATTAAGCTTCTCATTCTACACTGCAGATATGTCACTGCATCTTTCTCAGTTGGAGACAACACAAATGGCTCCTAACATGTCAATAAAAGAGAAATCAGAGAGGTAAAAAAAATCCCATGTTGGTCTTTGAAGGACAGTCTGTGCCTCTTTGATGTTCATTACACTGTACGCTGAAGAAAACCAGCAAGACTGCCAGAAAGAGTAAAGCTAGAATTTATGCTCCCCAAACAGCTAAAGAGCGGGCTGCTTCAGTTTTTTTAAAAAGGCAGTGAATCCACGTGCTGGAGTCTGGTTGAAAAAGTGGGGGAAATTTGTGGCAGTGAACAGAATTAAGTCAAAGCAGAATTTGTAATAGAAGAGAACTGGACCATGGCACCGGTGATCAGATTCAGGGAGTGGTGGAGCTCAGTTGGGGAATTCCTGGGGCAGGGATGTCCACTTCATCCCACTTGAACCATCTAACGTGGGTCTCCAGAACTGCCTGTAGAGGCAGCTTCCCCTCACGACTGTGTGGAATTATCTCCTTAGGTGGAAATAAACCCCTCTCAGTGCCAGTTGGGCTGCCCATGTTCAGGAGAGTTTGACTCACACAGGAACAAGTATAGAAATAGGTTCATAAAGGGGTTTGGAGATTGCAGAGCCTTCTCACAGGACTGTAGAGAAGCTCATGCTGGTATACTAATAAAATGATCTCTAAAATGACATTTGATATGCTGACAAGCAGCAATCACAAAGGAGAAAGACAACTCAAAGTTCAAGCATAACGTTAGTGCAAGAATTCTGCAAAAATCAACTGCCAGTTAATTTAGATGGGAAAAGGGAGGGAGCCAAATGCCCTGACCACTGTTCAGTCAGACTTTGAAAATTATGAAAGGGATCTACTGAAATGGATTTCACAGTGGGAGGACTTGGATTTAATGCTTAGAAGATACTTTATAATTCTATTTTCCTGCTTGAAGACGTGCTTTGGTCAAACTGTCGATATTCCTGCCCATGACCATTATTTCTATGCAGATCACAGTAGTCCAGAAAAGTATATAGAGACATAACATTACAGGACTTAATTTTAAAGGAAAAATGATTTTATACTATATTAATCGTGCTCCACTTACCAGCTGTGTATACTCTACATCATCTCCCAGTAAACCTGTGTCATTCAATGTATACTTGGCTTTCTTTAGCACAGCATCCACTGGGCCTTTTTCTACCTGGTGTTTGATAGCCTTGAACAATTTATAAAGAGGCTCCCCGGCATTGTCCTGTTTAAAGAAAAGGAAATTAAATAAAGCAAAACCAAAAGATATACTCAATGCAGCATGTTTAAGTATTATTGATAAAAAAACCCCCACAGGCAACAGACTTCAACTCTTACCTTGAGGTACTGATATAAACAAATAGACATCCAGTTAGACAACATTCTTTCAACAACTGTTTCAGATCTGAAAAACAAAACCAACCGCAGGTATGGTAAGGGTACTTAATGACAAAGTTTCACAGAAAAACATTGCTTGCTTGAAATATTATATTTTTACACGCTTGACTGCATGCACTCTCCTAATGCAATGATTTCCCTGTAGAGTCTTGAGAGCATGTACTTGCTTTAGGATAAGTGCTTTGTATTGCTCATCATTCCCTGGTACCTTCAGCTCATTACTGAAAAGCACACATCCTTTATGCAAAATCCTAAATTGGGTCTATGCTGTATGAGCTAAAAAATTAACTCAGTTGTGCAGTTATTGGGAAATAATCTACAGATTACAAAGCTACAACATACACAGAGCAAGGTCTTTTGTAATTTATTTGGGATAACAACAGGGTTAAAAACAGCAGAGCAGGCCCTCACTGAATGCTCAAAGCAAGCTGATTATGTGTGCTCATTACAGAGATGATGTGTGGTATAAATGCTAGACCATTTGGATTAAAATTACATTAAAAAGTAAATTAAATACTCAGCATTGTATTTTGAAGTAAGGTAGATGTTTCAGTAATCTCGATGCAGATTCCAGACTACAGTATTTGAATAAGAAAAATCTGTTGCCAGCTGTTCTGCCTGTGCCTTCCACAGCTGTTCCTGGTGAGCTTGTCTTCCTAATATGCGTGGGCCAGGCTATTTCTGACTTTCACGGATAGCTGGCATTTAAATACAGTCACATTGCAAAAGAAATACATTTACAGAAAACCAAAGAACTACAGAAAACATGACAATCATTCAAACCTTCTTAGCATGAGCTTTGGGTTTTTAGCCACAACATACTGCTCCATCAGTTCTAAGAACAGCGTCCTCATGATGTCAGTATAGTATTCTAGTTTTCCATGTAAAGCAACTGTCAGTAAAGATGCAAAGTACACTTTAGCTCGAGCAGAGAACTCCCTTTGGTTTTCCAGCGTGTGAATAAACTGAAAAAGAAAATAAATGTAAAATTAAGTCAGATGACAGGTTTCTGAAGAACCTCAACACTTGCCTGCACTAAGAAGGCAAGCAATATTATTTAATAGTAATCTCCTAAGCACAGAATGGAAAAGTTTTCAGAAGTTTGAAAAAGCTACTTATAAGAAAATGTTGCCTATAATCTGTTTTTAGATACACACAGAGTGTTCTTATATCCTTTAACTGAAGCTTTATCTAAAAAGGACGCTTTAATAAAATGAAAAAAGGTGTTCTGTGAAATTTTTTTAAGAGAACATCAACTCCCCTCTCTCCCAAATTCCCAGTCCTTTCACATCAAATTACAAAGACACTAATCTAAGTACACCTGGGAATGTGCTCTCATCTGCCATAAACTATAATGCTACCATTAACTAGCTCAGCATTGGAGCCTCATTTAAAAAAGGAGAAAAAGTTAGAAGCCTAAATCTATATTTAGGTGTCTGACAATCAGCCTCAGTTTTTGAGAGTGAGCAATTAGAAATCTCTTCAGAGTTGCTGTAAGCGCTCATCAATCTTGATGAATAGGCCACTTGAGGAGCCTACGCCTCCCTGGGACAGAGATCCAGCAGATGGCTGCCCCCAGGTGACTCCGGTGATGAACCAGAGTGGAATCAGCATTCTCCAATCCCGTTTCTTAAATGGCTAAAACAAACTTGTAACAGCAGTTTTTATGCCAGATTGGGTAATATCTGTTTTCCTACAGCCACTGCAATGTTGACTAACTCCATACTACGTGACCTGCCACAGAAATATGATCTTGCCTCTTCGCCCTACCAGGAAGCTCTGGCTGTGATGCCACATATCTGCAGTTGTTACTGTGGAACCAGAACTGTACGAAAATCACTTATTTTTAATAATTTTGGTTCAGTTGTGCTTGCAAACCCACTGTCTTGCACATACAGGTACGCCTAGCTAAGAGGCAAGGTGAATCTACTTCGGTACTCACATTAATGAGAAATGATTTGCTGTTGAGGAGGTTGGAGAACTGGTTCAAAGCCTGCTCCACAGTCTGCCGCCTGGCCTCAGGAATATCCAGCTTCCCCGTAATCATCACATCTTTCTCTCCATCTTTGGAGGGCAAGAAGAAGACTCTGTCTGTGTAGGTTTTGTAGTCCAGTACTGGAATTCCAGCTTCATTTATATCATTTGTCTGATCCTCCATCTCTATCATTAGATCTGGAATATGCAATACAGTTTAAAGGTACATTTAAAAAAAGCCTGCAGCTTTTTTAGGCAACATGATCTCTTTGGGTGCTTTGTTATGGAGTAAAGCATCTCAACACCAAAACCTCTATTTCATCTCCCATTTTCTCTTGCTATTTTTACCAATTATCCTGTTAACTACGACCACAGCTAATCCTACGGTGACACGAGGATAACTCCCTTTAGCACAGACGGTTTTCTCACTGCCTAACTGAAAAAAGGCCTTAATGGATGTTTGGATGAGTTCATATATATGAATGTAGGATTGTAGCACAGAACCAAAAAAAAGACACCACCATATCATTTTTTTTTTTTTTTTTTAATGCACATTCTATTCCCTCTGAGTGTAGGCAGTAATAAAAGTTCTTACCAAAAACATAATAATCAAGCAAAGAAAGGTTTAAATTGTAAAGCACACTAATTTAATTGATAGGAAGGGGATGGCAGGAATGAAGAAGGTTAAATGATTCATTGAAATCAATGGAAACATTTCTGCGGGACTCAAAAGCTCTGAAGTTCTTAAAACAGACAACAATTAGGGAATCATCCTTTGGAGGATCTGGAGCTATTCTAGCTGAAGTAATTTCCAATTACCCAATATTGCCAATTGACTAGAATACCATGTTAATTAATATAGTGACCTATTGTCTCAGCAATTTTATTGCTTTTATTCATTAATTTACCTCTTTGTTTTATAGAATTCAGCAAAGCTGAGGGAGAAAGCACTTAGTGGTTTCCAGCTCTGTGGTATTTCTACTTCCTCCCTCACGTCCCTTTCCTTGGCTATCTTTGGTCACACGCATTTTAGACTGCCTGCACTTCATGCTTTGACATTACAGTTTCACAGTATGGATCCAGAATGTGCTTTGACTTCAGTGTTTCATTTTACTGTCAGCCAAGGTGGATGCAGTTTAGGAACTGGATTACTCCTTGGCTGTGCATTCTACTTCCCCAGGAGAAACCTTCAACCCAACATGTGGCAGGAGTCTGTAGCCCACTGCTAGGAGTGTCAGCAAGAGAAAGGCAACTTCTCCTTTCAGAAACGGGTATGAAGTTCCATGGGAGAGGCGGCAAGAGGGAGCCTGTTAACCTTGATTGATCCTCTCACAGTTCAAAATGCAGTTTGAAATGAAGCCCATTTGGGAATAGTTCTTGATTCAAACATGTGCTTCTGGTTGGTGTCCAGAACCTGGAAGGAGTTGGTTTTCCAGAGGAAGCAAGCTGGTACAAAAAAAGAACATCCTGTCCCAGAAATGCCAGAAAAACAAGACTGGGAGAGGCTTCCAGCATGACTGAAATCTTTGAGATACCCTGAGCTTCTTAAATTAATTTCAAACTCCAACCTGAAATTGCTGTTTAATTCAGTCCTGCTTTTTAGCCCCTGTCAGTATAAAATAATCTATTTCTCTTTAGAAAGAAAACATATGGGTTGTTTTGTTTTTTTTTTTCAGTAGAGATTATTTCAACATGACCCAACAGCAAGTATAATTCAGATAATGAGGTGACGTTTCATGGTAATCACTTAGGCCGATATTTGCAATGTTTGCACTCAGATGCCTAATTTAAGCGTGGCAATGAGTAGTTCAACATGTAGAAATGCTGAGCCTTCACACCTCCTGCTGCCTTCCCTGAGATAATGCCTCTACGTTTACACAGAACAATTAGCTTGCTCCTCAAATCAAGCTTAAGGTTTTCCCACAATAAACAGGGCAAAATACTATTTCTTTCCTGTGAGCTTGCCAAATTATCCCTTTGTATGCTGATTGCTGCAAATAAATTTTGTAGCTCTGAAAACAGTTTTTAATGTGCATACTTGGCACATACAGCCATTGAGCTAAATACTAAGTGCACAGTTAGTCACTATAAAACATACTTACCTCTGTATCAACGGCCACTTACATCAATTGCTACAAGTAACCCCAACCTCAACTAGTTTCTATTTCCCAGTTGCTAACTCTGTGTTTCCTTTAGACTAAAACTATCCATTTCCTTTAATAACCTCAGCTCCCTATTTTATTTTATTAACAGTTTTCATATATAATAGCAAAATACCTGCTGTATGCCAATGTCAGTAATCAAGACTACTAAGATCTACTAATTACTTGTTCCCAGAAGTCAGTTTTAGCAAGCTAGCACCATTGCTCCAGCCCATCTTCTGATTGCTCAAGAGGACCACAGGAGTGCAAGTATCTGTCATACCTGTGAATTCCTTCTTGCACCGGTCTCTGACACTCTCCTCCAGGCCTTCAAGTTGTGATTTAATTTTTTCATATTCTCGTTCTGCTTGTTGGCTCTTGCGTCTTTATGGAATAGAGATAAGATTTTTAAAAAGTTACAAACTGCGAAAAGTAAATAATTTGCAACAGCTCTGAGCCAAAAGGACTGGAGGACATCTTCTGGGTTTTGATTTCTTTTTAAACACTGGCAGCAGAAAGAGAATGGAGGAGGAGAACAGCAACAGTGGACCAAGTCTTCATTCTGTGTAAAGCAACCTGGCACCATCACGGGCCTGCTGCTTCAAAGCACACTTGGGCCAGCAATTTAAAACCTAAGAAGCAGTAGCTGCAAATGCTTTCAGAAACTCAAATTGTATGTACTGAACAAAGATCACTTGCAACATACCCTGCACTGGCTCTGAGCCACCCAGGAGTGTGTCTGGGACTGAACCGAGAAGGTTGCAGGAGGTCCATGAGAACATCCGTGCTGTACAGCACATACTTCAGCATTGCTTCAGCTATACTGACATGCACTAAGAGTGAAATCCACCCCCTCCTGAGTGGCAGTATAAGGGCCTCATTACTAACCTTAAAATTGGGCTAAGTAGGTCTTAAGTGAAATACAGACATTGTTCTGGCCCTTTGTGAAGCATGAATTTCACCATTAATCATGAAATTTGTCTGTGGGTAACACTTACCTCAGCTGGAAAGGCAAAAACGACCCCTTAGCCAAATCCATCCAGTTCAGCCTGACACTGCTGACTGAGGCAGCATAAACGCTGATGGACATGTATACAGAATAAGCTACCTCCTTCACAAGAGGCACTTTAGCCACGATTTGAAGAATGTATGTGCGCAACTCAGTCTGCAATTGTGCATTTGGCAAGCCTGGGACCAATTGTTGTGCTTATGTATAAAGGACGGACTGGGCTGACTGACACCAAGGAATTTGGTGTGCGTGAGAGGAATAAATTGGTGCTCATACATATTTCCAGCTGTAACGGCCTTTCTTAACTCTGTAGCTCATAAAAAAGATGAAGATAATTTCTGTGGACTGAGCTGAAAACAATCAGAAAGTACCTTGAAAGCTTTAGGACAGAAAAAAACTAATTAAAGGACCTTACCTGTAACAGATGATAGAGGTGACGATGATTGCTATCATAGGAATCAGTACCAGTGGCAAAATAAGATTCAGTGGGATGTCACTCACACGTGTATCATATTCAACCCTTCCGAGGATCCACTCCCGGAGTCCAAATTTCACCTAAGTAGATAAGCACAGACACTTGTCTCAAAATGTGCAAACAGGCAGTAGTTCACTTTTCAGTTGCCCTCTAAATTCTTAGTAATTCTCACTAAGTGAATTTCTAGCTCAAACTGCCAAAGGAAACATTTCTGAATATTTTATACTGAATTTAGGTCACTAGCACATTATTCCATTAAGTAATTTTATTTTGCTCAGCAGAGGAAGAGAAATCCCCAGCCTGTCCAGCTACAATTTTACATTCCTATATAATGAAGGTAGAAGGCCTTTGGCAGTTTGGGACTGCATTTTATGTGTGATGTCTTCTAGACAGCAGACAGAAGTTGGAGGAAGAAAGAACTGCAAGGAGTTTCTTCATGGTACTATGCCAACTTTGGAGAAGAAATTACTTCAGTTAAGAAGCACTGTATCAGTGTCACTTACACATGATATTAAATTCTATTGAAAAGGTAACCTACAATGAATTCAGGAAGGTTATTGATGGTATCTCTCTTCTGCCTTTTCTTTGGTTGAGGCTGTACTTCTGGTGGCTCACAATATAAGTCCGTTTCAGTTAGTGTTTTTATGTTGCAAGGCTCGTCACCCACAAAAGCCTGGGCCTCGTCTATCGTCATGGCTTTGTTCAGGTTACTGCCCTAGACAGAAAATACAAGGCTAAGTCATCATCGCAAAGTCTTGAGAGCCAAGAAGTCCTGAGTTTCAGCTTTCCATTTGTTCTTTTTTAGCAGCAGATGTGATTTGCACTGCAGTGTACAGAAGAGCCGAGTGGTTGGGAATTAAGCAATTCCTCTCCCTTCCTCGTGCAAGAAGAGATGCCCCCTCCAGTGCTTGTGAGCTCTATGGCAGAGGACATTTCCAGATGCCAGGCTTAGCAGGAGGGGGCATCCCCAGGAAACCCAAAGTATGGCTAAAAAGATAGCAACTACCTCTGAGAAGGGGAGCGGGGAGGAAAGGGGAGCTGACAATGTTCATCATCTAGCAGAGGTAAGGGACTCTACCAAGAATTTTGGGTATAGTACCAAACAGATGTTAAGGGTTTGAGAAAGGAAGGAAAAAATCCATACATGCTTCAAGGACAAAATGAGCAACCACCATCTCTTGGCAAGTTTACCTTTGCATTAATAAGTTTGTTGACTTGTTTTTTGATGCCATCTGTGAAGTTCTCAAAGGTTGGGTCTGCAACATAGGCAAAGGAGTGGCTCTCATTTTTTACAACCAATTGATAATGATCCATTAGAATAATAGTGGTAATGTTATAGTTTTCTGGGTCTTCCAGTATTGGTGGGGAAGAAAAAACCACTGTGGTTTCATTGAGTCTTGTAACAAGCTTTCCATCAAACTGTAAGAACCAAGACAAGAACATGCATATTTTAGTTTAACTCATTCCTGTACTAGCTATTGATAACTTTAGACTGTAGAAATAAAACCACTGGATTTATATCCTCTCCATGCAGCAGAAGTAACACAATATGAGGTATTTTCTGAAAAGAAACAAATTTGTTGATGGGAATAAATTGTTGATTCACTATGTTCTAGCAGGTGCCTGCAGAAAAAGCTTAGGCCACAGATCAGTTTCCATTGCCTCCAAATTCTGTGGCTCTGGACCACACTGGGCTGATATCACTAAATTGCTCTAAGATTAAGAGGTTAACATGGCAGCTTTAATCTAGGTCATCTTCTGTACCATTAAGTATCTCAGGTAGATTCCTTTCTATTGACACTGTAAAATACCTTGCTGAAATTCAATACAATTACTAAGTGAAATTTCATAATAAATTTTACCCATTGTCAATCAACTACTCAAAGTAACAACTCGGTTAACCTGTCCTCCATCTGCAATTACACAAATGTTTTTATCCTAGAAACTCCTTCAGTCATTCAGTAACATCAACCACAGCCGACAACACTAATAGGAACCCTCAACATTTTTTCTATCACCACCTCAGTTTCTCACTTTGAGAAATGCAATTTGATAGCTTCTCTCACACATTTCTGATATTGCCATATAAGTGGAAGCAAAACAAAAGATTAGAATAGTTTCTGGTCTTAACCAAAAAATGTGCGCTGTACGTAATGCCAACTTAAGCTAACGGACTGAGAAGATGCTGAGCATACATAAGGAGCGGGGTAAGAAACCTTGATAAACACCGTCAAGAATGCTAAATAGACTTTAAGATTATCCTGGGAGTTAAGGTTATCAAGTTTATTACGTCTTACAGTTTATGGCCTAAGAAATGTAGGCAGTTTTCCTCTTAGAATTCTTTAAAGATAGGGTGCTGATGGACCCAAATCCAGCCAGCTTTGGCATACTCTAAAAGTTGAATCACGCATATAATACAGAACATGCACATTGCCAACTCTATACAAATCACAAGAGGGTCTTAAATTGAAGAGCCAGCCTTAGAAAAAGTCTTACAGCATTCTTAACTGGCAGATTACTTTTAAGTCCTCAATCATTGCACTAAATTGTGATCTTCATTAGAAGAGTGGGAAATTGAGACTCTTGGTAATGTCAGTTCTTCTTAACATGAGATGCAAGAAGCATTTGTTTTTCTCCTTAATGTAATTTTTCACAACTTTTTGTGAACATGCTATAGCTGCAATATCCACGAAGCAAGAAAGAAAAGAAGACTCGGTTCATTGAGGTTTGAGAAAATAAAAGGTACTGACTGGGCAAAGCTGAGTACTCAGCATTGTCTGGATTTGGGTCCTGTTTCAGGCAAATCTCTAAAGCTTGCAGGCGGAGAAGGAGAAAGATAAAGAAAAAATAAATACTCTCAAATTATGAAATACCTCCACCTTACCACTTGAAGTTTAATTCTTCTATCTTTATTCATATTCAGTGAAAACAACTTTAAAGCAGAAGATTGCAAGGTACGAGTGAATGTAAGTCAAGATGGCAGCAGTAGGCTCTTCTTCCACAGTAACCCTGAATAGACCCAGAAATCTGTTCAAACCTCATTCCACTCAAGTCCAGTGAAGTCCAGTGGGCAAACTTAAATGCATTTTTTGAACAGATTATATGTTATGTTTCCAGTGTGATGCCTTTGCGGGGAAAGAAAGAAAATTACCCTTTTGAGATTCATTTTTCCTGCTTCTGGACGCTCTGCATGTACCACCAATGAGAAACTCTGGATGAGCTCAAAACCGGTTCCAGTTACTGTAATATTTCTCCCTCCACTGAAAGGAGAATTAAAAGAGAAGACAAGTCATTGGCAAACTACCACAGCTATAGACTGCTTTATGCTGCATTGCTACTACCTCCACCGAAAACAGCTATGTAATGCCTATATGACAGTTAGATAGCCTACACAAGGGACTTCTGTTAAAGCTAGAGATGACCACAGCATTTAAAGGCAGCAATGTCAACTTCAAACTCGTTCTAAAACAGTAGAATAAAAAAAGTACAAATTGCTTTGTCAGGATTTGTGGCTTTTCATTGATGCCTATCTTTGTGTGCTTGACTTCTCCAATGTTTTTGTTCAAATCACTCCACTTACCACACACACAGAGACAAAGACAAGAGTGCTTTTTCCACAGGTCTGTAGGGAACTGGCTTCTCTATTCCCTTTCATTTGCAACACATTGTTTAAAAAATAATGCATTCGCATAAGAAGAGGAATGCATGCAAGTTGCCAGTGGGAATTAAGCCATCGAAGTAACATGGATTTAGAAGGATAGCAATCCTCAAGGCAATCCATTAAAGTAATCTTCAGTTTATATAGAGGAAAAAAAGAAGTCTTTTAAATTCCTTGGGGTAAATCACTATTGATCTACCAAAAAAATCCTCCAGGCCCCAAAACCACCCAAACCAAAAATCAAATGCAAATATTAAAACCAAATCCTATTTTACATAACTGACTGCTCAATTTTCAAGGAGGCAGGTACCAATTTCTCCAAGAGAAGTCACGGCCAATTTTATTTTTAATGTTCTACTTGTGAGGTCATGATGTTACACTTGTTTTTACTGAAAGAAAGTGGAAATATCATGATCTCTCTCTGCCAACTGTACCTCACTAAGCAGAAAGAGCAGAATATAGGGAACAGCAAACACCAGCGTGAATCAAGGTCACGGTTTGTCCCTGTATCAGTCACAGAATGACTTTGAAAACCAGAGGTATACAGATGATTTCCCATTTTGCCACAAATACAAGAGTGGCATACATTTCTTTGGTTTCACAATTAGTACTAGGTGAGATTTTTTTCCAGAAGGAACAGCTACCAGATGGGATGTTAGTGAGTACCACCACAGAAGAGAGCATGCCTTTTAAAAGCCTTATTGAACCCTGATCTGGATTTCCTAAAAAGATACCTCTTTTACGCATGGGACAATGAGATGACAAGCCATAACCATCCTCTGTTTCCAGCTTACTTATTAAAAGCTGAACAGAAGAACTGTTAAAAACCTTTTCATCAGAAACCTTTTACATACGTTATCCTTATAGGGTAAGGATTTGTAAGCAACGCAAGGATGATGTTGTCTGACATCATGCTGAAATACTTCAAATCTCTTTGTTTGAGACACTTTCATTTAATAGAAGCTCATTACCTTTTCTGGTTTCAGGATTTACCTCTGAAGTGGGGACTAAAGTTTCGAGGTAAACACAATACTTTCAAACATGAGCTGCAGTTAAGAAAGATCACGAACTCTACATATCTAAATGTGTGCATGGCTACAGTACAGGAGTTTTTATTTCAACAGATCTATATAATAGGTTTATTACAAATTACACATATCTTAACCCAACTGTAAATAAGTTATGACAAACAGTTCATTACCTGCTGAAGCTATTTACTGGCAGGAACTTGGTGACAGTAGGATTCTCACTGTATGAAAACTGCCCTGGTACACGAATTGTCGTGCCCCCATAGTCCATCGTGACTTCCACAGCTTCAACCTTGCTATTACGTCCGGTAATGCAAACGATCTCATCTCCAAATTCAGTGCTAGATAGGAGAAGAAAAAGAAGAGGAAACACCTTCAGTTGCTAACATTATGGTGATTTGTATTCTTTACTGTAAGACCCTAGAAGCAACAAAAAAAGGGCTCTATTTTTGCTAGGCACTGAGTAGTTATGAGAGGAGACAACACTTTCTTCAGATCACTTAGGGTCTTTAAAAAAGATACAGGATAAGAAAAGGATTAGTGTACAAACAAGAACAATGTGATGCCAGCTCTCTTTGTGTCATTCCTGTTTTTGGGAGAAGTGAAGAGCAGCAACTAACAAAAGGAAGAAGTGAGAGGAACAAGCCAAGGGGTACTAGAAGATTAAGATTTTATATGGAACCTCTGAGGAGACGCTGAGTGAAAGCATGGATGGATTTGGAGCAGTCAGTCAAGCAGAGAAAGCCCAAACTGGAAAATTTTTTTGATATCTGAGTTCTCCCACTTTGGTGTTTTTACAGCTGCTTCTTCCAGCTGGAGCCTCTGAGAGTGTTTCTGTCTGAACGTTACGTGCAGAGCTCCATTGCATAGGATGAGTCACAAAGAGATCAACAATGGATTTGTGTAATTTCTAAAGGCCAGAAAAGGTTAGTGCTTTGTTAGGATACAGCTCTGTATTGTTACTCAAGAGTACGTACACATTGCAAGGCTGGCTACCAACTGAAACTTGAACATCCTTCTTGGAACCGGTGGCCAGGTTTATACCAGTGATGGTAAGTGTGGTTCCACCTGCTTGTGGACCGCTTTCAGGTCTCATTCCAGAAGGATGAGGTTCCTGCAAAGAGGAGATGGTCAAACTAATTAAGAAAATGAAAATAAAATTTACACCAGTACTAATTAGTGTAATAGCTAATAGAAGTTTAATATTACTATGTGAAAAATAATAAAATTAAAATAATTTCAGACAGTTCTTCTAAAAGAAAACAAAATCTTTCATTATTCATGCTGAAGGAAGAAGTAACAGATGATGTGAATGTACTTATGTCTTTTCCATACTGTATTTTATGAGGTTTTATATGAATTTAAATTCCCTGTTTACAAAATGTTGAGTTAACTGCCATTAAGTTTGTGAGATTTTCCTGTTGAATTTCCTGTTTGCATACTTATTTTAAGATTTCTCACTTCCTTATGGCTGAGTCTGCCTTTTCCTTTCTTTACTCCTTCCTACATTCTGCATCAGCTGCAGGAGAGACAGAGAAATGTTTTCAAAACTGTTACTGAACAGAAAGAATATTAGGATTCCCTTTAACTATAAGGCTCTTAATTGCAGTAAAATTGTTATCCTTTTCTTCAGCAATGAGCTTGCAAAGAAAGAAAATCTGAAAATGCTAGATTTTTCTTTATGCACCTAGAACCTTGGAGAGGATTTCTTAAAATCAATTGAAACAAGCAGACATGCTTCCAATTGTTATGATATTTGTTGGTAATTTAAATTTCTCAAATAAGTTTGCTCCTTTTGTTCTCAATTCAGTCTTTGTTTCCTTGATTGTATTCTGGGAGCTCTGACAAATACTGTAAATTAACAGAGAGGGCTTTTCATGAACAGTGTGATTTAATTACTTCATCGCTCACTAGTCCCTGCTTCCAGTTGAGAAAAGCATCCTTAATCAGGACAACACTGAAGCTGCTGAATCGAAAGGATGACTGAAGCTGTGCAAGCCGCATGAGATGGGTTACCAGCCGGCTCCAGGCGAGCACTGCCTGCTGTCTCCATGGCCTGGCCATGCCTGCAGACGTGCCGCAGCCCTCGTGCCTGGGTGGTAGCTGTTGTGCGGGCAGGCAGCAAGGTGGTCCCATGCAGCCAGCTGCCATGTGCGCCACGCACGCAGATAGGATGCCATTGGGGCATAGCTACGAGGGACCCTGCATTTGCTAAAGCATACTAGAGCAATAGCTTAGGGAGGCTGTGAATAGGTAATGCCTTTACTGATGTATAACTGTGCTGCTTCATCTGTATTCAAACACAAGCTTTTCTTAAGTCAAATAAACAAAAAGCTTATTTCCCAATCTCATGTATATTTGTAAATGACATCTGCTCTCCTCCTCCTCTTGCATAATCTTACTAAAATGGTTGACTGATAATAAAGTCCGGGCTTGGGGCTATTCTATATGAAGCACATGCTAATAAAGGAAGAGCAAAGAAGTTTGAAAATTTCCCTTGCTGATGAGGGTTTCCATGATCACCATCACACTGCACTGATCTCCCACTCTAAGGAGGAAAAGCCCTGCTCAGAAACAGAGAGCAACAAGCCCACACCTTACTAGTCATGCGGCAAAAGCCTTTCCCCCGTGTTGTTTTGCTCAGGCACAGACTGTCATCTCTGTGACAGCTTACAGCTACAAAACCGAGGACCTACGAATGGCAGGGAGGAGGCAGACTGATGTGCTGCAGTTTGGGTCAAAGCTTGGTGAGCCATCAGCAGGTTTTTAACAAGCAGCAGGGATCCGTAAAAATGCATCCAATTGACCTCGTGGTTACTTTACAAATTTGTTTTATTGAAGCACAGATATTATAGAAACACGGAGAACTTGTACTTGCTGTGCTTGTTTTATACTTTCATGTCTAAGCAACTTCCCTCTGAAGGAATGCATCATGGTTCAGCACACTTCACAAATCCACAATGACAACTGTAATTTGCTCTCAAGTCATTGAGCTTTAGGAATACGCTTTAACACTAATTGGGTGTCAATTGCTTTTCTTCCCTGAGAGAAATCTGTTTGTAAACCCTTCACTCCTCAAGATGTACGTCGCTGCAGCATATGACTGCTCTCACGTGCTAACCTTTGATTTCATTTTAATTTAATACATCACTCGGGTTACAAGATTTTATGTAGGGAAGTGACTCAAAGTCATTTTTAAGCAAAAAGAAGCCTTGATTCAATAGAAGAGAGTTGACTAAAACTTGTTCACTTAGGTCTATACAACCCTCTCTGTGCATACTCTTCTTTGGATTTAATTGCTTGCTGATTTAAGCTAAATTGAAATAAGCCATGTGAGGGTAAATAAAAAGTTTGAGGGGGTCAGTTTTAAAAATCACACTTGAAGTCAAATTAACACAAGTCTAGACATGTGCTTCAAAGAAAGGCTCATTTGTGCTTCTTTGTAACAAACTTGTTGCTGAAAAACTTACAATCAAAATTGTATATAAAATGCACAGTAAATAAATTGCTTGTAAAAATGTATTAAATACTGTAAGCATAACCTTTGCACATAGACAGAAAATCACACCTTTTATTGAATTCAAATTAAATCTTAATTGCTATAGATTGTTAAGGATGTTGGAGCACTGTATCATCCGCAGTAAAAATTCACAGCAATGATTAGCTACAAAACATGCCTGGGATCGCTTTTAGAAGGAAGTATACCCCAGGAACCACCAAAGAATCAGTATGGACAAATTCATTATCCCTGAACATCAGAAAAACTGTTTAAAACTCATAGCCTTTTCTCTAAATAGTACTTCCACTGAAAGCCTAAGGACAGACTTAGGAAGGAAAGGAGCAAGAAACCACTTAAAGCCAAGCCTTTAAGCAGAAACTTAGGAAGAAAGGAACAAGAAAAGGTTTCTGAAGCATCACACACCACTGTTCTCCATAACCTCAGCATAAAAAAATGAAAGGAAGCTTGTGAAGAATTTCTGCTAGACAGCTGTACTCCTTTCTTCCTGCAAAAAAAGTGAAAGAATTGCCCTGTTAAAGCTCTGCTGGGTTATCTGATAAGTAGCGTCAGCTGGCTCTGTTGCTAACAACCAGTAAATATCAAGCGAGCCACAGACTTGAAGCAGAATCATTGAGCACCACTTGCTGTATGGGACCTTTCAGTGGTGGGTGTGAGTTTGCCTCCGTAGGAACAAGAATATATAGATAACCAAATAGCAAAGTTTTCTCTGAATAGCACAGCAGCAAAGGGAATCGTATCATAGAATCACAGAACGGTTTGGGTTGGAAGGGATGTCAAAGCTCACCTAGTTCCAACCCCCCTGCCACGGCAGGAACACCTTCCACTAGACCAGGTTGCTCAGGGCTCCATTCAACCTGGTCTTGAACGCTTCCAGGGCATCCCTGGAAGCGTTCAAGGCCAGATTGGAATTGTTTTTTTCTTAGCAAGACTCCAACTCTGCTGGAAGTTAATGCCCAGCTATGCCAGACGGGAGAACATGCCACCCGCACCTTACCCCATCCATGGCACAGCCACATCACGGAGTCAGAATGTCTCAGCTGCACTTCAGGCTGAATGGAAAACTGAGGCCAAGAACCACTCTGGGAGTAAAGACAGGTAGTAGCCAAGGAGGAGGTGGAATAGTTATGGTTTAACCCTTATTTTCTTTTTAATCCCTCATCTTGCAGCAGTTCCTCAAAGGACTATTTTAAAACAGCTTAATCCAAAGTATTCATATTTAATGTATTTAAAGTAATTTTGAAAATACCAAGAGCTCTCTAGAGACTAAATAATGTGGACGCCTCATAAAGATGATCTAATAAGGAGAAGCTGAATTGTGCTCTGTGTGCAGAGGAATTCTTCAGCAAAACTGCTAAAACAAAGCATCATATAGTAAGTTTTTTGACAGTAAACTTGTCAGGAAAATGATTTGATTAATTTTAACTTGCTATTTTCTGTTTCACATTTTCTCCCTTTCCCTTCCTCTTAAGGACCTGCCAGGAAAAAATAAGTAGTTAAAATAAATTATCAAGAATTTTAAAAATTGTTTTATTGCAAAACCAATGGGCTACGAGCAAGTTTTAGTTCTCTTCTAAAATATTCACGGATGGCTCAAAAAGCAAAGCTACACTGGCCCACCTGGCGGTCTTCTTAAGAGTATCAATAAGGAAAAAAAAAATTGGTTCATCCAAATGCTCAACCAGAAAGCATTTTTCAAATGTGCTATTAGGTAGATAGGAACAGCAGGAGAACAATATTTTGCTGAATGCCAAGGTAATTTGTAGAACTATCCTCAGTGGTGGTACAAGCCTTTAACAAGAATCACGTCACCTAAGGAGAAGGTAGACCCTTCCCACAACTGACATGGCACTCACCAGTGGGACAGTGAGGTTTAGACATTTGGAAGCTGCCAGGTCTAGTCTTATCTTACACAGTCTTCTCTTATGCAGTCTAGTAAAGCTGCACTTAACACACGGCTCTACATTGCATGAGATTCCTTCTCCTTGCAGAGGAAAACGAGGGGCAAAGGGTAAATCCTTCACCGCAAACCTTGTTTGAGGGATAATAAAGATGCTGCTTTTACCAAGAGGCAACCCTCTTTAATTTGGACTCCACTCCAAGCAAAACTGAATGTTTGACCATTACAAACAGCACTGATAAAGGTAGGACTTCAAGCAGTCCGCGATCAGTGACATCACCTTTTCAAAATCCCCTCAAGGATTTTTTCTCTCCTTGTTTCTGCCCTTTTCTCATTTCAGTCTCTGAATCAGAAGTATGCCTGCCGTCATAATACCTCGCTTTCATTTTCAGCCCTCTGCACCTTGGGATCTTTGTTCGCTCAGTCAGAAGGTGCCCGGGGGAAGTCACACTTTCTATAACATCTCAGCGCAGTGCACCGCTATAACATCACACCACAGTGCTCGGTGCAATTATGATGTTAAGCAGAACACTTGATTATGTGTCCTATATGGAATTTGTAGCAGTCTTGTAATAATTCTTCTGGAAAACATTGTCAGCCCTTGTGAGGGCTTGGCAACACTTCATTTCTCATGGACATAGTAAAATTTAAACAACCCTGCAAACACTAATTTAATCCTTGTTTTATAATTCCTTAA